GTTCCTATGGTTAGCGGAGCATTGGTTTAACATTTCTGGAGTTCTTGATAGGCTTCATCCTGTAACGTTGTAACCCTTCATTCCGCATAGTTTTAAAGGAACTACCTACTATACGTATTTTCGGTATTACCTTTAACTTACCCAGTGTTTCGCACACTGTGACCTTAGTTGCCGCTGTGAAATTAGACACCTAATTTTCTTTTCTCCTGCTCCCATCCCATTTAGCGGGAAATGTTTGCTAAATTTCCCACTAAATTTAGCCGGGAATGTTTCCGCTAAATTTATCAGGGAAGTTTTTCGCTAGATATGACAGAAAATGTTTTTAAGCTGAATTTAGTTAAGATTTTTTCCTGCTAAATTTGGCAGGGAAAATATTTCGCTAAATTTAGCGCGAAATTTTTCTATCAAATTCAAGCTGGAAATTTTTCCCGCTTAATTTAGCGGGAATTTTCTCACTAAAATTATCGGGTCCCGCTAAATTTAGAGGAGAATTATTACCTTTAAATTAAGTGGAGAGTTGTTTCCTCTAAATGGATTTTTTTTCTGCTACACTTAGCAGGGAATTCTTCCCGATAAATTTAGCGGGGTACTTTTCCCGCTAAAAATAGCGGGGTAAATTTCCCCCTAACTTTAGCGGAAAATTTTTGTGGTAAATATAGCGGGGAAATTTTTCCGCTGAATTTAGCAAGGAAGTTTTCCCGTCAAATTTACCGGGAAATTTTAATCATAATGAAACGCGCAATGACGTCACGAATTACGTCCCTCGTGACCCTCGTGACGTCGCACGTGACGTCATTAGGGGAAATATCCCATAATGCAACGCACGATTACGCCAACGGCGCGCCGCTTAAGCTGGAAACGAGCACCTAAGAGCTGCGCTCTAAAAGAAGACTCTTCTTGGGCACTTAAGAGCTTAATGAACACATGCAAAGGATAAAAAAAACTTTTTAGAGCGCAGCTCTTAGGCGCCCGTTTCCGGCTTCAGCGGCATCGCCGTCGCCGTAACCGCGCGGTGCCTTATGGGGCGCGTGACGTCACTGATTACTCTTTGTAAGGTAAAAGCGCTAAAAACAACGGTAAAAGAAACGAACATCACAGAGCGCTACTTGCAACTGAAGTTTATTGTCAGAAAACACACATATATATACACCGTGAAATCGCTACATGTACTACAGAAACGCGACATCACCCAATCAGTGTTCGCGTGTCCGCTATCTACTTTACGAAAGATTTTAAAAACGCCACCTCAGAGCCAAACAGGGCTATAGATGGAGCGCTGACACACGTTCCTTCAACCCGCTCGGATATAAAAAAAAGCTTCGGATATCTCCCTTGTCATTTTGTTTCGATTTCGGGCCAAGATAATGGTGCTGTCAAACTTCGGGACACACCCACATCTGTCGCAGTGCACAGCCAGATTTCCCGAGGCTGACGATCGAACTGACAGGGCATGCTCCCTGAGGCTATCATTTATATAACGTCCCGATTGGCCTATGTATACTGTGCCACATGATAAATGAATCTTGTAAACCACGCCCTCGCTACACTCCACATACCTGGTCTTATCTTTCTTCTGACAGACATCGACGGGTGTCTCCCCCGTTCCACTGATTACGTCATCGGCGTCGGCGTCGGCATCGTCATCGTCACTGATGACGTCACCAGTGATGTTACTGATGACGTCATCGGCATCGTCACGTGACCCCCGAGGTCACGTGATCCCCCCGAGGTCACGTGACCCGCCCGAGGTCACTTAACCCACCCCCCAGTTCCCTTCCCTCCTCCTCCTCAAGAGCTGCGCTTTAATTCGGCGTTACCGGGAGTAGTAAACGGCTTCCACTTTTTTTTAAACAGGCTAGATGGAAAAAGAATCTTTAAAACGAATTTACAACGAAGAAATAAAAAAACTTAGAGCTATATTTACGGCGCAAAACGAATTTGAAGTTGGCGCCCGCGGGCGCGGCCGCTGGTCACGTGGTAGGTTTGTGCGCCGCCGCGCTCGTCGCCGCCGCCGCAAAGTCACGCCGCCGCCGCACGCAGAGCTTTTTGCGACACCGCTTCAACGCGCTTCTCCACGCCGCCGTCGCCGCACGGGTTCGTCTGCTTCGGAGCGCCGCCGCTGTCATCTGACCGGCGCACGGGTCTATCACGTCTGCTTGCGCTTTTTTAGGAGTTTCCTCTGGGCTCTAAAAGTTAGTTTTTTTTTTGTTTTTTTGTTATACTTCAAACAAAAATGAATAAGTTACTTTCGGAGGCCAAAGGTAGCTTCTGAAAGAGCGCAAGCACCACGAAATAAATAAAGGCCACTTTTCCATGGCGCCCGCGGGCACCAACTACAATTTCGTATAGCGGTTTCAGGGAGTCAGTTACTCGAGCATCCACCAGTCGGCGCGCTCTCCGCGGGCTTTGCGGACCGCCATAGCCGACCTTCAGTTTCTCGCCGTTGCTCCGTGCTATGTGCTGCAGCGGCCAACACCGGAGCTTTGTTTTCGTGTTCTTTTACCTTCCGCGTGGAAATCTTGTGTTTTCTTTGGGTCTTTTCAATATTTTGGGCTTTGATTTAATCATTTGATATGTATATTTCAACATAGCTCTTGTATTTTCATATTTATGGAATGGAATCGGGCAGCGAATGAATCGACGATACAAGTTCGTGGCATAGGCTTGAGACCGTGTGAGTTCATCACATTCTTACCTTTTCGTCGCTAATAAAGGGAAGTCAACACCTTTGCGACATATGCAAGTTTCAACTGACGCAATAAGGCTATCAAAGTCGCGCTTCTCGCTGCATGTGCGCCCTTGTTTTCCGTACAGGGGAACCGCATGTAACCGATTTAGCGTGCGACGAGACGAGCGACGGCGACAACGACGAGTCAGCGATGAGCGACTGAGATTTCTCTTTGTCGCCCGTCGCGCCGGTCGGTTTTTGGATTCCTAGATTTCGCAGCAGCAGTGGTGGCGCTGAGACAACCTCGTCACTAACTCAGTGGTCTGCTATATCACAGGCGGAAAACGAAAGCTGCAAGTCACTACAAGACAGAGGACACCAGCAAAAACAGCATCTTCCTGGGATTGGTCAACTTGCCTTCCACCAGGGGACCAGGCTACAAAAAGACCAGCTCGACCAGGCGGCAGGGATCTTCACTTCGCAGCAGCAGCGGTGGCGCTGAGACAACCTCGTCACTAACACAGTGGTCTTCTATATCACAGGTAGGAAATAGTTGATTATACTTGTCCTTTTGTTTATTTGTCGCCATTGCTGCTGCTGCTGTTGTGTCACTGATCTTGTTTTTCTAAATTGCTACTTCACGAGTGAAATGGCTGACGGTGCCGATGACATTTGTATATTATGTAAAGTCATCTTCTCGAACAAAGATAGAACAATGGTGTGTTCCGAGTGTGAGTTTCCGTACCACTTAGGTGATTGCTCTGGAATAGCCAAGTCAACGTTCAAATCAAAAGGGGATAGCTGGCATAAACAATGACGCTGTCAAACCTGCAGACTAAATAGGCAGCGAAGTGGACATATCGCTAAACAAAGAAGTGACTCCGATCTGGATCCCTCTGCGGTCAGGATGACACTCGCAGCAATGAACAAAAAGCTAGACACCCTCTTAGATCATAAAGACACAGTAGATGAAATTGGATGAAATAGAGCATTCAAGTCAGATGCTGTGGGACAAGTATGACGCAGTGATAAACCACATGTCCCAACACGATAAGGAGATAAAAGAACGGAGGAAAACAGCTGAAATAGTCGAAAAAAGCGAAGCAACAGGAGAAATCAAAGAACTAAAGAAACAGGTGAATGAACTTGAATGGCAGTCACGCCGACAAAACCTGGAACTTCACGGTGTACCAATGACTGAGAGAGAGAACGTACTGGAAAAGGTAAACAGTGTGGCAAGGATACTGAACGTACCAAAGTTGACCGCTAGTGATATGGTGTCAGTGTACAGACTTGCCTCAAAGTGTGGACAAGGTCCCTAGAATTATTGTGCGCTTCGCAAGCCAGATAACACGGGATCTATGGTTCCGTAGGCGCTTGAGCCTGAAAGAAGCGAAAACAAACATTTTCCTTTTGGAAAATCTGACGGGGCATGAACGATCGCTACTTTGGACTGCAAAGGAATGGGCAAGGGCAAACGCTTACAAGTATGCCTGGTACAGGAATGGCAATGTACTCTTGAGGAAACTAGATGGAGGGCGAGTGCACGCAATCAGGAACGAAGATGACTTGCAGAAATTGGAGTAGAAATATTCACTTTTTGTCGTTCTTTTGATTTCTTTCTGTCTAAAATGGCTAACCAAATTAATTTCTTGCCGAGTGAGCTTGGGAACGTGTTTAGATCCCAAAGCAGCGTTGTATTTTCCCTGTTTCATTTGAACGCACAGTCCTTATGTAATAAATTTGATCGGTTTGATGCATTTTTGCGGAGTCCCGACTTTTTGTTTGATGTTATCATGTTAACGGAAACATGGTACACTAAAGATGATACTCTTGAAATTTTAAGTAACTATGAAAACTATAATGTATGTCGAAATTTTAAAAGAGGAGGAGGAGTTTTTATGCACATTAAAGGGGCACTCAAGTGGATTCTGAGATCGTCTATTTATTGTCATAACGCAATCCACGGACTCTAAGCATCCTAAAAATCCTAAAATTACATTCAATGGCGGCCGATTTCCCTATTAAAAATCCAATCAAAGATCGATGTTCTGCGCCTAGGCGCACGCCGTCAGGGGCGCTGTCGGACGGGAAGGCAGCAGGGAAGGGCGTGCGCCAGCCAATCACGAGTCCCGGCGGACTGATTTTGAAATGCGCGCGTATTCGGCGGACTGATTTTGAAATGTGCGAGTATTCGGCGGACTGATTTGTTCGAACGTGCGCGTATTGGACGGACTCATTTTAAAACATTTATCGAATGTGGTGTCGTCGTATGGAAATTCTTCGGCGGACGGCAGATATCAGGTTCACCCCGTGCGACACCGCTCCTACGCGCGACGCCGACGCCTCGAACGCGCCGCAAACGTAGACGACGGCATTCCACGGCGCTGCGAAGCCAGCGAAGCGTCTTCGGCATCGACACCGGACTCCGGACTCAAAAGAGAAGAACGCACTCGGCGACGGAACTCCGCGGCTCCGCAACACGGACTGATAGGTGATACGCTTTTTATTGTAAAACTCGCATGTATAATTGATGCCGGTTTTTTGTTTTAAGGTGCCAGTGCGGTTGCTGCATGCCGATGGAGATCGTCGTCAGGTTGTCTGCCGCCGGGTGTACACTGCCGCCGTACGCAAGCAGCAGGGCCGGCGCGCTGCGTGACGAACCACTTGGATTTCGACTCGCTGTGCCCCAGCCGGGGTGTGCTATGACTAGCTTTCCATAATAGACGCCACTATGGGCAGAAGAAAATGCGGGGCGACAAGGAACAAGTGAGTACGACTTGCCGATCGTGAAACTTGCGATCGGCGTCGACAGCGTTCCAATCATCGGCGCCCGTTTTTCTTGCCCCACGTCCGCACGGGAAACCTTTCAATAGAAAACACTTAGCGATCAATTGCTTTTTTTAATGTTCGCTTCACGTGTCGGTTTATTGTTTTTTGTTTTGTTTGCCTTGCGTTTTCGTTTTCTTGCCCATGCCTCCCAAGCTGCGAGCCGCGGATGAGGACCCCTCCAGCGACACGGAGTCGGAGTTGGGCTCCGGTCCGTCTTCGGTTGAGATCCTGGCCCTCAATGACCCTGCAGTGACCGTATGTCTACCGCCCTCGAGTTGGTGATGGAGCATTTAGCAGCCGTCACGGGCGGGACCGGCGGCCAGCGGCAGTGCGAGCCAGAGGAGCTCGACGACCGCAAGTTCGTCGCCGACTTCGTGGCGGTGCTGGGCGTATACGCAAGAGCGTCGAGCGCCTCGGACGCGTAGCGCCTCGGATGCCTACGTGCTGAAGCGGATCTTCCCCTTGCCTTGCCGGCGAGCGCGAGACGATGGTGGGTGTTGCAGATTCTAATTGACTGCACCTCAACCGAAAAGGGCTATACGCACGACGCGAAACGTTTTGGTTCTCGTATAAAACTAACTGTCAAAACAAGATTTCCGAAGCTGTAAAGTAGCATAGAGAGGAGGCTATGCATAGGGGTAACGCGTCTGCCTCGTACGCAGCAGACCAGGTAAACCCAGAGCAGTATAAAAGGCTCTGGGTAAACCTTGTAGGTTTACCTTTTTTTTTTTTTTTTCGAACATTGTTTTGTTGAGGCATTTAGCAATATTTACATTTTTATGATTAACAGTGAAAAGAATGAATGTTTTCGACGAAACTTCGCTCAACTAAATGGTATGGCCTTCCCTTTCCAGAGGTGCATGGGGAACAGCAGAGCTTTGGTTTTCGGCTGGACGACGCAAAGGGGGGGGAGGGGTTGGGCCAATTGGCTAATACTGTATTCACTCGAGTAATAGCCGCACTATATATGAACAAGGCCCTCCCGTCTACTTTCCCACAGAACACATATACAGCCAATCATTGCGTTGCGCATAAATAACATAGCGAATAACCAGATCGAGAACACGATTCTCCATACAAGTGCAATCTTCACAGATGGTACCTTCACACGAAAACATTATCTCTGTCCTGGAAACAGCTGTAATCATGCCTTCGATCGCCATGATTGGCAACCTGCCTGCTCCGCGGAAAAGCGAACCCTCAGGTTTTCTTCATAAACAGTACGGCTATTACTCGAGTAAATACGGTAGTTTCGTAATTAGCAGCCGCATACTGTCGCAGCGAAGCGACGTGAACGCAGGCGGGGGGTTAACGAGCTCCTAGTGATACACGCTCTGTCCAGCGTGAGCTCTCTGCGTCGTGCGTATAGCAACTTCCGGTCAAGGTGCACAATGTCATGCACATGGCCTTATACCCGTGCCACACGGGCAACTCGAATGCCATTTACAACGGATGACATTTGAACGATCGGCCAATCAGCATGCGACACTCCGAGCGTGGGGCATTCCACCCGCGACAGATTGCGAGCCGATTCATCAATCACACGAATGTCATTCGCTGTAAATGGCAATCGAGTTGCCCGTGTGGCACGGGTATTAGTCATTCTATTTCCAACTTTTGAGGCGTTCCGCCGCAGCTTCCGAGAGGAGTTCCTGGCGCTGGGGTACGAGTCCCGAGTCCGGTGGGAAATCGAGTGTCGTACACAGAACCCAGAAGAAGGCCTTGTGGAGCATATTCGGGTCATGCAGGAACTGCTCAACCGAGCAGTGCAAGCTGCTCTCAAGTCGCAGAGGGTTACTGGCAGTGTTCGTCAGCCACCCCTGTTACAACATGTGTCTTCATGGGTCCAAATATGACACCATTGAAGACCTCGTGTAGGAAACCATCGCGGCTTGCGTGGACTACAGGCCTCCAGCCCCCAGCTGCAGAAGCCTCCGAGCCGTCCTGTGCGTGGGTACCCCCCACATGCGTCAACCGAGAACGAGCAACTACGACTCGACACCTTCCTAAAAGGGTCTGTGCCAACCTCGCCTACTTGCCCCTCGACCTGAACCCCCTTGACTGTCGTCGGGAGGTCCAATGTTTTTACAACAAAATGGGTCGTCAAGAGCCTAAATTCCTAATCCAGGGAAGCCCCAGGCAGCTGGAATTGCTCCCCCTACCCCCGAAAGCCCGCACCAGAGCGAAATTTTGCCGCAGATGCTGCAGACCTTCTCAAGCGGCTGGCTGCAGTTTCCCTACGGCGAAGGCCGGCTGCCTAACCGTGTTCGAGATCATTGAACGGCCAACAAATGCCCAAGCTTGGGCCAAGGGGTGGCTGGCAATGAGGGAATGAACTAGTGGAGTTGAGAGGCAGCGGCCAGTGTTTGAGAGACTGGTATAACATGGGAAATAGAGCGGCAGAAGACCGTTGGCGGCCCAGTTCCTGCTAGAACTACGGACAGCGTGGCCATTCTCGCAGCCAATGCCTGCACTGGTGGTGCCGGGGCCAGAGGAACCAGGGAAACCAACAGGGCTTGCGACGCTGAACTTGGAGATCTCGCTGCCGCCGGCCCAAGCTGGCAGCAGCGAGTTCCAGCCTCAGGATGAGCGAGTCGCCAGCACTTCTCTCGTCTGTGTCGCATACGACCTACATATCAGTACATCGAGCCTTACATGACACTTTGTCTACTTGCTGTTCCCTTTGCCGCCCTTCTTGATAATGGAGCAGAAAGTTTGTTTATTGGAGACTTTTTTGAGCTGTGCAAAACAAAAAAAGAATCGCTTTGTTCCTAAAATACACTTCTGCAGTGCGCTGCAATGCTCGGCATTCTGTTCGACGAAGAGGCACGCTAGCATTTTCTTTAACTGCCAGGATTGAACATGCCAATTACCTTTTGGTGTAGATTTTATTGCAGGCGAAAAACTTTTGCTCGACTTTGATGTTGGCGGCTATTAGCCGGATGGACGTTCAGCTGGATGTTACCCCTTTCACGAGGCGAGAGGATTGCATTACCGGCGCAGCTCTCCCGGCTCTCTGTACAACAAGGCTTGCTGCAGCCTTTCCTGCCGGTGTCTGAGACACCCTGTAGGTGGGTCCAGGAAACAAAAGTAGCAGCTAGAGAGTATGTTGCAGCCATTTCCACCAAAGTACTACACGGGAGTTGCGGGTAAGACTGATGTGCTGCTGCATCGAATCGAGACTGGCGACGCTCGACCAACTGCGGTGCAACCCAAAGCCCCTCATCGTCCATGTACGAGCTCTCCTGAATGCAGCACTACAGGAGTGGATCGACACCGGAGCTGTTTGCAACTCCCAGAGTCGTTGGGCTTCTCCCGTCGCAGCCCCAACGCTGTAACGGCGAGAGATTCATACCAGTTTCCCTTGATCGACTCAATCATGTACGCGATCGACAACACAAAAATGTTCACAATGCTTGACTGCAGTCTAGGATAATCGAGATAGACCCAGAGGAGGTTTCGACAACCGCTTTCACCTGTCACAGGGGAGTGTTCGAGCCTTTCAAATTTGCCGGATACCTTTCAACATCGAATGGACATTGGTGTCGATGATGCAAAGAGCAAGTTTGTGATGGCGTACATGAAGGGCGTCATTTTCCCCAATCTTTCAAGAAATACCGCGAACATTTTAGGATTGCCCGCGAGCAAATGCAATATGCCAACTTGACAGTTCACCCTGAAAAGAAAATGAACCTTCTTGGCTTTGCTGTTAACTCGAGTTTTTCACCCCAATCGGGACAAGATACGCGCGATAACCGATTGCCCGCAGCCGCAAGACGTCAAGAGCTTGCAATGCTTTCTAGAATTGATTGGATGTTATTGCCAACTCGTCCCACACAGCTCCAAGATAACTAAACCTTTGTATTTGCTTTTGTGCAAAAGAGAAGATTGGCATTGGAGACAAAAGCAACAAGACGCTTTCCCTCGGCTCTCGAGGGGAATCATTGACTTTGCTTCGTTAGTTTCCGGGTCTTTTTAACCCGTTCGTTGATCAAACGGCTGCCAGCGACTCTGGCCTTGGTGCTGTCCTGCTTCAGGAACACAACGGTGTTCTTTGGCCAGTTACCTTCACCAGCCGCATGCCGACAGCGGCCAAACACTACTATTATGCAATGGAAAAAAAGTGTCTCGCCATTATTTTTGCCCTAAAAAAATTTAACATGTATTTCAATGGCACATACTTTCAAATCCAGACCAATCAAGTGTTCTCCTGGCCGAATGATTTGCGGAATCCAGTCGGATGTCTTGCACAATGAGCTCCGACATTGCAGGCATACCACTAAGCCACTACATAAAAGAAGGGAGTTTTGTTGCGGCAGACGTAATCTCGTATGGTCCTTTGCAGGTCCTTCCCACTCAGGACGAAGATGCATTGGTGCGAATAACTGGCATTGTGGCCGACTGATGTTGGGGAGCTCCGTCTACAGGTGTGCGAGAAGCTTGCAGAACAAAGGGTAGGCCGCACCTAGAGCAACGATTGGTACGACTCATATTTGCTGAGAGAGAATGGACTTCTTCTCAGCTACAATTTTCAAGCAGACGATGCCGCCCATGGCTCACCTTTCAGGATTGTGAAACTTCGAACGCCGTTCATCAGTCACTTCCATGATTCAGCCTCATCAGGCCACAGCAGCAGCAGTATTACTTGCAATAAGTTACGTCATGTCGAGACTTGATCAGGAATCATTCAGGATATACGAAGTATGCCCACACTTGCCCAGGATGTCAGAAGTCAAAGCCACACGAAGGTCTCCTACCAGGATTTATGCAACCAATCGTAAACCACTCTCCTTGGCAGATTGTTTCCTGCGACTTGTAATGGGATTATTTCCTCATAATCCGTACAGTAATCAGTATCTTCCTGTCGTGACTGATCACTTCACGAAATTGGTTGAATTGTTCCCTTTACAGAAGCTTCTTTCGCAAAAAATCTGGTATCGCCTTCTTGCCGTCCTTACCAGATTACGCTTTCTTACAGAGCTCATGGTGGATCATATTTCCGGAGCAAGGTTGTCTCGACATTTGTGCTGTGCTTGGCATACAGTACAAGCTCACTTCTCTGCAGTGTTTATAGTTTGTTGTGAAGACTAGCTGTTCGTTGGCAGATGCATCACATGCACAGCGAAAGGGAACATAAAAGCAGCATAATATATTATTAATTTCCCAGGGAAACGAACACAAGACGTGTACACTTGAGAGTATAGAGTATTGCTTCTTATAATCTGATCTGATCAGTGTGGCCATTGCTTCAGTTTATGTGGTTAATTAAAGTGGTGTTTTTTTCTTACATTCAGTCAATGGATATTGTTTCAGGTGCTTCTGGTACGCTGCCTATAGGCAGTGGATGCTATGGTTGTGACTGCAACTGGGGCAGAGCAACTGGCGACCACTTGCCTCCTGCATTGTGAAAACAATGGGGGACTGACCGCCAGCGACACATTTTCCGGGCTCCTGTGCCCTGATTGTGCGACTGAATAAAAGTGTTTTTCTTATACTGGGTATAGAACCATGTTTTTCTCACCACAAAAGTAAACATTGCATCGTCCAACGGTCGGTCTTCACACAAATGTATTGTTAGCCGTGAGAACCAAGTGACAACTTACTATTGCCCACTTCAAAGTTGTAATCGATTTGCATAACTTCTCACCAAGAACACTCGGGGTTTTGTTGGCTGCCATCTTCGTGGCGCTTCTGTGCAAATATTTCCATACTCCGTTTCACCTTACAACTGACTGCAGCAAACGCTATGAGCTATTGGAGCCAATGGACAATAAGTAAAATAGCAGTGCCCCTAGCGGTTCAGGTGCACTCTGGGAGCAGGAGACTGTCAATAAGTAGTTTTGGTTTCACCGGGTTGTGAATCTGTCGTCTGCTATCATCTCCACATTGCCATTATGTCGTCGTGGATTGCTCCACACTTGTGAACGAAGTACTAAGTGCCCTTTTCTTCTTGTTGCTACAAATCTGACACAGCAAATAATGAAACAATTTATTTTGCTGGCACGGGTTTTGAGCGAGAACATTCCAACGGCGAACTGAAGTGAACGTAGAGCGACATACACCGAATGCCGTGCCAGCTCGCTGCGTGCATTTGTTTGCCGCCTCGAAAACATCCACTGAGACATTTTATAGCACTTGCTTCGCCAATCGATATTTCCAATTGGGCTAACACAATACATGACGAAGCTAGCTGTATGAGAACGTTCAAGCACAAACTTTCGCCCTTTGCTATGTTTCTGTGTGAAAATTGGCCGCGGAAACAAGGGTGTTATAGAAACAAAGTACTAGTCTCAGTGGCTGTTCTCAAGGTTGCAAACCAATGCACGCGGTAAGCTGGCACGGCATTCGATCTGCATTCACTTGACTTCACCGTTATGGTGTTTTTGCTCGTCCCCCGTGTCAGAAAAAATCCTAATTGTTTCGTTATTCGCTGCGATTGATATGTAGCAACGAGAAAAAAAGGGTACTTACTGCATTGTGCGCAAGTGTGGAGCATCCACAACAACATGAGCAATTGTATAGGCGGCAATTACTGGCAATTTTACAGTGACTTTTTGCAGAAGTGGTGTGACACCAAGGTTGGGTAGTAGCGATCACAGCACTATGTAGCCCCTAAGAGCAGAACAACGCAACCCTTTGAATCCGGGTGTTTTACTGACAACATAACCGACAGAGCAGCTCGCCGCAAGTCACGTGGTACTGTTTATTAAAACATAAACTCCGAGTTCACACTTTTCGATACTAGTCTGTTGTGAGGTTCGCAGAGCCACATTGGCTGGGAAGGCTCATACACTACGCTGTTTAGGAACAAGGTTTGTTTTTGCTCCTTCAAGGCACATACGAGTTACCCAGTAAATGAATAACTGACATTCCTTTCAGTGGTTGAAATCAAACCTTTTTGCCAAGGCACAAAAGAGAATGGTGGGGACATAGGCAAATGCTGAGTGCGCATGTCTTGGCATCTGCAACAGTTACTCTTGTAGATGCCGTGCGTAAATGCACTTCCAGCATGCTTCTTGGTGCTTGGCAAAAGTTCTACTCTCCGAACAAACCTCTGCATAATCATTCGGCTTTGGCTAAAACTATTTTCATTTGTTTCCTCAAAGGTTAGCAAGGCATGAACCACTGAATTATCGAGAGGAGACAATGTTGCAGATGGGAGGGGAAACCGTAGTGTAGACTGGAAAATATGTTTAGCTCTGTAAGTCTGAATGGCATCGAACTTGTGCTAAATGTTTGTGCTGTCATGCACAGTTGCCTGGGTTTGGTTTATACAGTTCCAGTCTACCTCCTCGATGAAAGCCCCATTTATTAAAGACCAACAGGAGAGCTGCTTTGCCAAGGTGTAGCCTCTTCAGGATGTCTGTGGCAGCACATGAAAAGAAAAGTCAATGCAGTATTACGTGCGAGGGACATAAAAAAATATGCGGAGAGCATGTATTTCAATACTCGTCTGTGGCGCATCGGAACACAAGGAGGGGCACACAAGCAACGGATAGCATAAAAGGCATGAGGAACACACGATGACGAAGCAAGCAAGCAAGCACTGTCACTGGGCAAAATTAAAGCGGGCACAAGCATGTGGACGCATGCGGAGGGAGGGTAAACAAATGCACAAGGCGTGCAAAGATCAGACAAACTTCTAAGTTCTAGGCGCACATACGCATAGCTTACCTCTCGAAACCTTTGGCAGGGTTGGATGGAGAGTATGTCGCCTCAGAGTCTGGCGTGCTGCTGGGAGCAGGAAATATGCAGTTGTATGGCACCTCGCTGCTGCAGTAGGGGACGGCAGAGTCGAAAGTATCCAACGGTACTGGCTCCTCCACGACCAGGGAGATTCATCTCGACAGTGCAGTCCCTCAGGATCCTTTCTGCCTTGCAGGATGCAGCAGTCCAGCTGCTGAGACTAGGACCTGCAAATAGCACGTTTATACTACAATGTTTTTCACAATGCCTGGTTTCTAACACTTAGAAGAATGGAGAGTCGGGCGATTTGGTGGGAATTCATCGTAGGGAACAGCAAAAACAGACGAGGACGTTAAAGAACCGCACGGGACGAGCGCTGCGCTCGTCCCGTGTGGCTCGCGCACTGGCCGTTCAATGCGCGAGCCACTCCTGGGAACTCGCACGACAAGCACAGGCACAGGCACATTCGCTCGTTTCGCCGCGCTTTGGCTGCGCATACAGGCTCTAAGCTCTCGAACGAAGCGTGTTCTCAGTTATGAAGCTCGAACCGGCAGGCCGGGATTGCTTACGAGATGTGGCAGCTGTTTGAGAAAACAGCCGTGCCATTCTGATCCAAGCAAATAAACTGCACCGCAGAAACGACAACAATGAGTGTGCAGGCGAGCTGGTAGATGCTGATCATGTTCAAAATTACCCGAGTCTGTGGTAAAAGGGAGAAAACCTAGGTCCTAGAAGAAAAAATAAAAATAAAAATCGTGGAGTTCTTAGGCTTAGGTGGACATCGGCTCCATTCCGGTATGGGCAGCATAGCCTTTTGTGACCCTGTACGCGTGGGTAATCCTCCCACACTGAGTAAAAATAAAGTATTAGTATACTTTTGATTCAGGTAACGTCATGCTCGCAAACTTTCGCATTCTGTCGCCATCACTAGTGTCTCAGCGATATTCAGCTTTCTACGATGCGTAGCTTATTTACGCGGATAGAAAAACACGGTTCTCTTCTACAAAACACCCTTCGAATACGTATGTCACGCAGACTGCTGCACAATGCGACGTTGAAACTCACAAAAATCACCAAACACTTACCAGGACTTTTTCGCGGGTCCCTCGCTCGGTCCCGTCGGCGACGGGAAGCAGAAGCGTCGGTACAGCAGACTACGGTCACCGCTGGCGAACGCCTCGAAGGTGTCCGCACGGAAACGAGGAATGTGGAGGAGGTCCTCGGCGGTCGTTTTCTTGCCCGGTGCAACGTAACCATTCGCGTCCTCGCGAACCTTGCTTCGAGAACGGGATGAAGTGGGAGCATAGGGAAGAAACCCGGCAGACGACGGAGCGACGCAGCCGCGTGGCCGCGTCGCCGCGCGGGCACATCACTCCCGCGTAACAAGGCAAGGAGAAAACATAGTTCGCTCGTTTTCAATCAATAATAGCTGCATTACGTCACCTACACCCTACGATTTGACGTGGTTGTCAAAAGATAATGTGCATGTGTCTAAAAAGAGCAATATTAGTAACTTTCGGAATCTCCACGAAATTGACAATTTTTATTGGTTGAATTTTATGGCGGTGGTGGGGACACAGGATGGACTCCCCAAGAGGAAATAGTGCCTGCGTATTTCTTTTGCTGCGAGTTTATTTCGGCGTCTTGCCGTCTATGACTGGTCATTTTCATTGACTGAAGCCCAACAAACAATATGCTTTCAAAAACAAACTTCTTCAAAAAGCACTTGAGTGCCCCTTTAAGAACACCATACACTGCGGTATGATAGATAAATTTTCGGTAATTACTGAGGATTATGAAGTTTTGACGTTGCAGCACGCGCATAACGTTTTTGTGTCGTGTATATCCCTCCTGGTGGCACCATGTCTTGTTTTCTAAAATATCTAGATGAACTCTTTCTTTTTATCGGTGAGAACAACCTGAAGCATGTTATGGGGGTGATTTTAATACAGGGTTGGGCAGAAATACTCAAAAATGTATTTGGAAATACAAATACTGGGATACTTTAAAATAGTATCTAAAATACTGATACCGAAATATATCTGTAAAAGTGTATCGCGATACGTATCGGAAATACATTTTAAATAGAGGCAAAAAGTATTTGGAAATACAAATACAGGAATACATTTTAGCGAGGGCAGAAATACAAATACAGAAATACTGATACTGCAATACATTTTTCAGATTTATTTGAGATAAAAATAGATAAAGTTTGGAGTTGGAAGTGGAAGTTTTTGATCCTAAAATTATTTTCCCGTTGGCTTGGCACTTTGCCTTGAAGGTAGTGATTTCGGACGGCGAGGAGTCTTCAATGGGCTCTTCCATCAAGGAGTGACCGTGGCCCCTTCCCTGACATCCTGTCTGTATGACGAGGAATGCGAAAAGACTTCGACCTCTAAATAAATTCTCCGTCATCCTAAATCCCATCAAAACGTCACCACGCCCCTGTCAAATAAGGACGCCCTTGTCAACATTTATCACATGACGTCACGGTGGAATGAACTGGTAATCTTTATCTGTAGGTATGGCCTTGAATATGAAACTTTAACACGCTGCTGTATGAAAAGACAATGCATACTTCCGTTGCACGTTACCTCGTTGAAGATCGTGCAGGATTTTCGAGAATGGTGGACCACCTGAAATACCCTGGAACACCTGTCTTATCTTCTGTTACGATTGAAAAAACGATACGGTGGCATCCCTGTTGTCAAGGTGCTTCCTGCTGACCCTCCGCCACCGACGCATGGATTGCAGTCATCAAGTTTCGCCTTGCATACTCCAAATAGAGACCTCGTGGATTGCGACCTGATATTGCCGGCTGAGGTGAGAGCTTTCCGAGAAACAGCGCGCTCGAGGCGAGTCGCAGGTGCACGAAGTCTGGTTCGGCACAGCGAGGCCACGTCTGACCTCCTTTCTGGGTTTCGGATCACCAGAGCAGCGGGTCACTTTCACGTCGGCTGATGACGTACTTTTGAACCGTGCAATATTAAGGGCGCAGCCGAAGACGCATTCAAATATCTGTTGAACTTCGCTGCGATCCTACTATTTCAAGTCAACCACCACCAGGCTCGTGCTGCAACGGACTGTGACTCAGCTTTGCCGAATGGGTGTACGGTTAGCAGCGGGCTTTGGATGCCCGCAAACAATGACTCAAGAAACCCCTACCTAAGGACCTGCGGCAAGAGATGCTCTGACTCCACTCCTGGCACGCCACCTGGTTCGAGTCCCCGACTGTGCAACAGTTCTCAGAAGAGAGAAGAGGACGCATAGAAAAATAGTTTGGAGAATCGGAAGGAAGCTTGGTCAGCATGGTAACAATGCCCCAGCATCTCCTTGAGCCTGGTGCCCTCAAAAGTAAAAAAAAAAAAAAAAAAGCGCGGAATTTTTTTTTTTTTTTGAGGGGGGGGGGGGAGGGAGAGGAGTATTTCTCAAGAAATGTAACGAAATACATTTCACCCTGATTGTATCGCGATACAAAGGAACGTTCAGAATGTATTTCGATACAGAAATACAGATACTGATGAAAAATATGTATCGCGATACAGAAACACAGATACGAAATGTATTCCTGAAATACTATCGCGATACATTTGTATCGCGATACTGCCCAACCCTGTTTTAATATCAATATGCTTTTGTCATCAACACAGCAATTAGAATTTCTCATGCTTTATCAGTCGTATGGTTATATCGTCACCATTTGTCAACCAACTCGTTATAGTAGTGCGAATGAAACATTGTTAGATATTTTCTTAACAAATGTACCCGAGGAACATGCACATGCTGGTGTTATAGCGGCGACAATAAGTGATCATCTCCCTATTTTTATGTTTATAACTCTAGATAATATCAAACACAAGAAAATATGTGTGCCTAACCTTCATTAGCGTGATATTAGTACAAAAATTCTCGAATTTTTTCAAGAACAAATTAACACAACAGACTGGAGTGCGGTTCTCTCTAATGTGTCGGCAGACGAGGCATACGAGAGTTTTCTTGAGACGTTTTGCGATATTTAATAACCGTGTATTTAAGTACAAAAATATTATAGGTCATAAAAAGTGTAGAAAACCATAGGCCACAGCAGAGGTATTAAAAATGATGAGGAATAAAAGCACTTTAAATAACATTTATCCGTACAAGGGATCCAGTTGTGTTGTCAAGTTTTAAGAGGCAAAGAAATAAGATAACAAGTGAGCTACGGCGGGCCAAACGCTCATACTATTTTTTGCTTTTCCGGGATGAAAAGAGAAGGGGTGTTTTGTCGAAGAAGTTAATTTCGATATTATTCGAGGTTTGGAAAAACATCCGAACTTACGACTGAGGGGGATATTGAGAAAGGTAAAGCTCTTGCAGACGCGTTCAATGATTTTTTTGTCGACTTAGTGAACAGCGTTCACTCTGTTGAAGCTTCAAAATATATAAAATGTCTGTCTGAGAACATATTTCTCCCTCCAACTAGTGAGAAAGAAGTTATTTCAATTTTTATGAGTCTAAAAAACCGCAAAAGTTCTGAGTCTCAGGACATTCAAATAAAGCCCATTAAATGTGTTGTAAAGTCTAGTGTTTTTATTTTAACTCGTATATTTAATTTTTGTCTCGAAACTGGTGTTTTTCCGCGTAAAATGCAGATAGGAAAGGTTTCTGTAATATATAAAGCAGGGGATAGGAATGATCTTAGTAATTACAGGCCAGTCGCCATTTTGCCGATATTTTCAAAAGGATCGGAAAACATCATACATAAAAGACGACACTTTTTTTGAGAAACACTCAATTCTTAGTCCCCAGCAGTACGGGTTTTAGAAAGGGTACTCGACAGAGTTAGCGTTATGAAATCAAAAAGAGATAATTCTGAACAATATTGAAATTAAACTGCATACATTGGAAATCATTATCGATTTTTCAAAAGCCTTCGATCGTATCAACCATAAAACTCTCCTTCAAAAACTAGAACTTTCTGGTACTCGGGAATAGCCCTGAAAATACTCGAGAGTTTCTTACACTTTTGTTTTCAAAGCGTTGTAATAAATTGTTAACGTTCTGAGTCTAGAAAACTTAATGAAGGTGTTCCACAAGGTAGTATTTTAGGGCCTCTTTTATTTAACCTGTATATTAACGACATAGCTAACATTGACGATGAAGCAAGCATGATAATTTATGCAGATGATGCTAGTATATTTTTTGGCAGGGTCCGATATTTCGGACATTATGAAGACATGTATTACATTTCTAGACTCACTTATACGTGAACAGTCCAGAGCTCTTTAGTGATAAATAGTAATAAAACGAAAGCTGTTGTTTTCAGGGCAAAGGGGGTAAAAATGAGCGGAAATCAGCTTCTCTCCTTACACTCACGTGGTATCGAAATTGTGCAGAATGTAAAAGTTCTTAGTGTTATGTTTAATGAATACATGCGATGGGATGAAAGAGTTCATATGATAGCGAAAGGCTATCAAAAGTGGTAGGTATAATTTATAAGCATAGAAGCACATTACCCCAGTCTGTATAACTTAATTTTATTCTTGTTTTAATTACTGTTTCTTGGTATGGGGAACCACAACTTCTGCAAATATTCATCGCATCCATATACTTCATAAAAAAGTAATTCGTATTTTTTGTAAAGAAGTACATGACAGCCGCACGGTACCGTCGTTCAATGAATTGCTCCAATAAATTGTTCCAATCACGAATTTAATGAGTATAAAACAGCGACAAACCTCCCGGGAAACAGCCTTCTTTCTCTCTTTTCCCTCCACTCACAAACACCTCGTATGCCACCCGCCATGCCGACGCCTGGACGGTCCCTCGCTCGAGAACAAACTACGGAAATCAGATGGTGAGATACCAGCTACCCAAAATGTTAAACTATTTTTATCGCGGAACATTACAATTGAAAACTGCTCCAACAAACGCATATTATCATTACTAGTTTCGACAGCAATCTGATTGTGTACTCTTGAGAGCGGTTTTTGTTTTGAGTGCCTCTTCTGCTCTTGCTGTTGCGGGAGGAGAGGGCACTGTCAAGCAGTTTTGTACTGCTTTTTTTCCTCCTCCCTTTCTTCTCGTTTGAAGAGAAATAAAGAAACTTGAATCTTGAAACGTCGCTCACCGGCTTGGTCGCTTGCTCCCGTCGCTTCCATGTGGTTTGCCTCGTCGCGCGACTGACCGAGCGACAGCGAAGCGTTTCGCCGTCGCTTGTGTCGTCGCTCGCCGAATCGCTTACATGCGATTTATACTTCATTAATTTCGATGCACACAGCACTGAAGCACTGGCGCCTCGATATTAAGTATAAAGCGCATGCAAGCGATTTGGCGAGCAACGAGACAAGTGACGGCGACCCGCTTCACCGTCGCTCGGTCAGTCGCGCGACGAGGCAAACCGCATGGAAGCGAGGGGGGCAAGCGACCAAGAC